AGTGTGCAACTCTTAAAGACTCCACCTCCCAATAGTGCCCCATTGACAAATTTCAACATGAGTTTTAGAGGAGACAAATAGCCATTCTAACCATAGCACTCATAGTTTTGTGAGATTAAAACTGCCTGGGGTACAGCAAGTGCTGGAGAAGTGTTCAAAATCATTTTATGACTATTATCACTCCCCATTTAGAAGTATAGTCCAAGGACTAAGGTGGGACAGAGGAGCACATCATGAAAGGGACATAATAATAGTGCTCCTATTGAGAGGTGATAATAATAGTCAAAATGTAGTGAGTGCTTGCTAAATGCTAGATGCTATGCTAAGCGCTTTAGGCAATGCATTTAATCCTCCCTCCAGGACTCTTAATCCCCACCCTATCCCCCAATTTATAGACTCTTCACCATGGCCCATAAGACCCTGCATGGCCTGGCTCATGCTCCTCTCCCTGAATTCATCCTCATTGATCTCCCTCTCTTGTACCACCCTCTAGCCTCACTTATCCCATATCTGTTCCCCTACCTCAGGGCCTTTGCACTGGCAATTCTCTCTGCCTAGAAATGGATGTGTCCATTCCTACATTTTTTTTTCTTTTTATTTCCATCTTTCAGGGCTCAACTCAAGTGCCTCTTTTTTTTTTTTTGAGGTAGAGTCTCACTTTGTCACCCTGGGTAGTGCTGTGGTGTCATAGCTCACATCAACCTCAAACTCTTGGGTTCAAGCACTCGTATTGCCTTAGCCTCCCAAGTAGCTGGGAATACAGGCACACGCCATAATACCCAGCTAGTATTTCTCTTTTTAGTAGAGATAGCGTCTTGCTCTTGCTCAGGCTGGTCTTCAACTCCTGAGTTCAAGCAATACAATCACCTCAACCTCCCAGAATGCTAGGATTACAGGCATGAGCCACAATGCCCACCCTCCACAAACATGTATTGTGCACCTAGCATGTGCCAAAGACTGTTTTCTTGCACTGGGGATACAGCAGAGACAACAGCAGATTAAGGTCCCACAGCAAAACTGGATTCAAACTCAGCACTCTCTCTCTCTTTTTAACTGCACAGCCCATGTCTTAGTTATCCAACTGCCTCAGAGCCCTCTGTTGAATTAACACCACAACAATACTAATTTTTTTTTAAAAGCATGTTAGTCATAACACCCTTCTGGGCTAGGTGAGGGAAGCACAAGGCCCAGAGTCACATTCTTTACATGCAAGATTTCCCAACAGCCACATGAAGGACAAATGAGGAAACTGAGGCTCCAAGAGGGGAAGTATGTGTTCAGGATCACAGAGCAGGGGATGGGCTGCAGACCTGGAAACCAAGTCTGGCTTCAGAACCTGGCTGGCCCTCATCCACTCAATTGGAGCACCCCAATTTCCCAGAGAATCTCAACTACCACCTCACCTACCAGTAAAATAGGAAAGGATCCAGGTCTGAGGGGGTGATAATGGCAATGGCCACATTGTTCCAAAGCCATTTATCTATGCCAGGCAATGACATACCTGGAGTTTTAACAAACAGGACTCCATCCAGCCTTACATGAGCCAGCCAAACACTTAATGAATACTTCCTATTCCAGCCATATTTTAAGTGCTGTTGATATTCACTTAGTCCTAACAACAACTCTGAGGCAAATACTGTTATTGTTTCCATAGTACAAACAGGGAAATCAAGGCAAAGAGAAATATGCAAGATCACATACTTAATAAGCAACAACTTTTATTT